TTAATTTCAATTACGATATTTACCTAAAATTATCATAAAAATCATAAACTTACGCCTTGTCGGTTACTTTTTAAGCTCATCGTACGAACGTATCAAGTTGAGAACTAAAAAACAAGGTGATAAATAACAAGGACTCCTTTGTTGACCAAAAAAGAAACAAATTGCTTAAATGATTGGTAACAAACAAGTTAGAGAAACTTGTGTTGATAAGTAGGGATAAAAAAAAAAAAAAGAGCATTATTGATGGTCCTGTACGTATAATTATCTTTCACCTTGGACCCATTCAGATATTTTCTACTGGAATTTGTTGATTAGTGGTCTAATTTTAACTATTTTATTTATTTATAGCAAGACAAATCTTACAAAGTTGTAAACTGTGGCTGCGGGACATTCGAACAAGCAGCTGATGCAGTATTTACAAATGAAATGAGGCATAATCCTCACTTTTGTGCAAACTAAAAGAGCCAATTACAAAATTTATGTATTAATAGTCATTCTATTATTAGTAGTAAGAAAAAAACAGAAGGCAATTGAGATGGTCCTAAAATTATAACAGAAAAGACTCTTGCTGGGGCCATTACTACGCACGCCGCCTGGCCTTTCGATACTTGACAACCCCATATCCTTCTTTTTGTGATGAAGGCACGTGAAGTACAACTATATTTTTCGCCTAATATCGTCAAAACCACACTCATCTTGGGCTACTAAATTTCATTTCTGACATCTTCAGAATGAATGGGTTCAAACCAATCTCTAAGATAAACCAATATTTGAAACAGTGTGTTTTTTACGAAAACATACTACCATCTTAGAAATCCAAAAAAATGTATGTTTAAACAAAATTTCAATTCTAATGTAATTTCAAATCATGATTCAAGATGCAACTTCTTGAGATATCAATAATAACGGCAAATATAGCAGAAAGATGACCATTTCCCGTGAAAAAAGTAGCACAATCAAAGGGCAACATAACTGAAAAGACGTCACAACTTACAAATAGGACCAAAAAACTGCAAATCCCTATAAATAAAGCCTGAGCAATAAGATCACACTTGCATCATCGTAAGCACTAAAACATGGAACTCTAACCAAAAACCTATAATTGGAATGACAAATTATATAAAATCAACGCATACGTACAAATGTAAGAAGCAAAACCATAATGGCTGCTAAGGGTTTTGTGATGCACCAGGACAAAAGACTCAAAACACCAACTCCACAGCATGTTGATGCTTTCCATGGTCGAAAACAATCCAACTATAACTTTTTGATTTATTTTTTTTAATCTATGAGAAAATAAGAGTACCTCTTTTGGATACAGGAAGTTATGATCCCTTCGGAAGAACTCTTTAACTTGGTGGTTTCTTATTACCATGGTTACAACTATTGGCACCATTCATGAGCTGTCCGCAATTGAGGCCAAACGAACATTTCAATATTTGAACTGTGTTCCAGTTGATAACCTAATGTGCAAATATGAACAACCGAATTGCTTATCATTGATACTTGTCAATTTAAAACCTCTCAGTTACTGTGGAGTGATTCCCCATACACGAACACAAGCATCCTCGCCAGAACTCACTATACTGCGTTCATCAGTAAAAGCTAGTCCATATACTCCACCCAAATGAGCTCCTTTAATAGTGATTCTATGCGATGCTGGCTTGCTGACGTCATATATTATAACACATGTGTCTAGGGATCCAGTAGCTACCATTGTGTTATCAGGTGACCAATCCAGGCAATTTATTCGGGCAGTATGGTATAACATATTATTAAGTTTAACCTTTAAAACACAAAAGTTTTTATTAGTTATAAAATGTAAAATATATCAAATAAGTAGACTACACAAGTAAAAGTGATGATTATTACCTCACGAGATGCACGATCCCAGACAACAGCTTCTCGGTTCACATCTGCTGATGCAAACATGGAAACATCTGGAGAGTACCGAATAATGGTAATAGCTCCCCTGTGTTTTTCAAGGACAACCTCTTCATTGAGACTATCACCCGCGATGGAATACAAATGAAGTTTACCATCCTGACCACCCACTATTGCTTCAGTTCCATCAGGTGAAATAACAGATGCCGTCACCGTAAATCCAAGGTTTATGGTTGACAGCACTTTTGTACCACGGAGAAGAATGACTCCAGTTTCAAACGAAACTAAAGTCACTTCAGGAGAATTAAGGGCAAGGCTTAAGTCCTTAGGTTGGGTGCCAACATCTATAGAATTTGCATCTCCACATTGATCTCCAAGCAGAGATACTCTCCAGATCTAAGTCCAATCAAGAAGAAAAAGAAATTGCATTATGGCCAATAGTTATAAGGAACTATACTTTTGTTTGATTTGACAAAATTGTCTTTGAGCATCATCTTTTTAGCCCAAAGAAATAAGGAAAAGCAGGAAGACTTAGAAACCTAAAGTATCACTCACATCACACATAAAACAGGTAACGTTCTTATAAATGCCACATTATTGGTATCTACTGAATAAAAATGACAATGATTCATGAGATATCATCTAATCATATTACTCATAAAATTGATGCAACTTATGTAAATTGTCAAATAGTTCTTCTATAAGATTCTTCAAACATTAAGGTTAAATAACTCCCATGCTAGTAAACGGATAAATAGCTGACCTTAGAAGAGTGATTGTAATCCCTATACTTTCTTTCTTCCCAGAAATATTAAGGGGACACCCTCGGTTTAAATTCTAAAGCTGGCTTTAAAATAATAGAGCCTTCAGCAAGTACTTTCTTAAAAAACAAATTCAAACAGAATGAAACGTAACCATAGAGCACTTGCTAGATCTCTAAGAGACCTTTTTCTATTCACAGGAAAGTAAATATCACAACTCACCTCCTAATATATCATATAAGAAATGAAAAAGGAGTTGTTATAAACTCACCTTGTTGTCGAACGCACATGACACAAGTTCTCCTTCCACAACTGCAAAGCATTTGATTTGAGAAGTCACCTTTCGGTCTAATTTCCCGCTATATCCAATGCCTTGAATCCATTTAACAATCAAACCATCATAACTGGTGGACAATATGATTTTCGGGTCACTTCTGAGGACAGCTAAGGAATTAACATTTTTCATGTGCCCAGAAAATGACACGGGAGGTTTTTCCAGATCACTTGCTGAGAATATGGAAATAGTTCCACCAAGAGAAACAGTAACAAGATGGTCATTTTGCCAGAGACAGCCAACTAGCATGTCCTCAACTCCACCAGAACCAGGAGAAGCCAGTGTTTTCTTCACTTTCCCTTTTCCATCATCAGATATATCCCATACTTTTGCTGACTTATCAGCAGAGACTGTGAGCACCTGAAATTAACAAAAATGTCAGACATTGTAGGTATACCCAGAAGAGGAAAGATTGACAGTGCATAATGGTAGTAGACTATGAAGCTGCAATTTTAAATTTCCATCCAAGCTGGTTCCTTTAAGCAATTTTGATGAAAAAGATTCTGTGCATTAGGAGAAAGTATAATGTATTTTCAACCTGAGAAAGTCAGCCAGAAAAATAGTGTAGTATGGCATACTCCTAACAAATAACTTCAGTGTTCTTGGCATATTCAATTCGTGTAGCACTCACAAGAAATAAATTACAATCCAGCACAACAGGGAAATAAATGGAAATGAACTAGCATGGAGATCCAACAATCACCTGTTTACTATCGGGACTCCAACTAACAGCATATATACTTCCTTGATGACCACCCTCAGATGATAGCTCTCCAATTATATCTCCTGTTTTGGCATCATAAATAATGCCCTTCTTGTCCGAACTTACACTGATAAGTTTGCTTCCGTCTGGAGAGAACCTCAAACAATTGACAAAATTTGAATGCTCCCTGTAGGTCCAAGGCAAAAGGACACTTAAATTACAACCATTCCGAACGTGTTATTTATGATGCCACCATACTCATGTTACATTAGATGGCCAGATGGATTGTTAAAAGAACATATCGAAAGTCTCTGAACTCGACTAGAACTATAACTACTGGTTTTTTATTTCCTTATTTCTAGCAAGCAGTTTACAAGAGGTGAAAACCACATTGCAACAGGAACGGTAAAAGGTAAATATATGGGTGTATATGTACCATGCATGATGCAAGCTCTAAAAATCTCAACTGCAAGAATGGATTTATCATGTACACCAAAATGAACTTTCTCAAAGGTCTTCCGCCTGGCCTTGAAAAGCTGTGTCACTTGTACTCTCCATAAATGTTGCCGCATCCGTGTCGGATTCTCCAATAATACACTATTTTTGGAGTATACAACACGCAAACGTCAATATTTTTGAAGAGTCGTGGCGACATAGTTGAGAAGTGCATTATTTTTAGAGAAAGACAGGTCCTAATGTTCTTTTAAATTGTCAATCTTCTCTCTCAAGTTTACTGTTTTACTGATTACTATTCGTTTATGAACAGATTGTTTCTCTCTGCTCGCGTTGGACAAACATTTTGGAGAAAACAATAACCATATATTGATATTGATACAAAAAAGAGAATGGGAGACACTTGTTCTAATTCAGCATAGCAGAAAGGATAAGGAACCTGTGAGACAGCTTGAATTTAAATGGTGGTCCTTCATAAAAGTTCATCAAGAAGTCTTCGCCGCAAGTGGCTATGCGGAATGGTCTTGTGGGTTTAAAAGCGCAACTCAAAACTCTCCTTGAATGGCCATCAAATTCACCCACATTTGTTCCTGAGTCCCACCTGCCCAAGACAGTTCATCAAACAAGGATAATAGATATGCAAGTATGCACAGATAGCAATCTTAGGACATGAAATACAAATAGGGGCATTTAAAATGAGCTCAAATGTGTTCTAGATCAGAAAGAAAAGAAGAAGCACATGTACAAATTCCTTCTCCGTGATGTTAGATACAACATTATTAGTTTCACACATGGTTCTTTCTTCATTCAACTTTACATTATGCCCTAGCAACCTCCCTCAACAATATACAACATTATTAGTTTCACACATGGTTCTTTCTTCATTCAACTTTATATTATGCCCAAGCAACCTGCCTCAACAATATACGAGCTTGGTGTGAAATCTCTAAGATTGTTCACATCTTCCAGCTATTGTCTTCAAGTATCTCCGATAACCACAATATAGAAGCCCTCTTTTGGATGCTCAATATAATAGCCCTTCCAATTTCTTCTCTTAGTTCTCCATGCTAGTCTACAACATCTGATGCTACGGTAAGGTGACAGCTTTAAAAATTTAAGGTTGCTTTAGTAAAATTAACTATCAGAGCTATAGGATCAAAAGTACAGTAATATCATATACAGCATCAGTAAAGTGATTTTCTTCGGGAGCAGTTCCTTCAGCTAAATTTATTACCCAGATTGAATAACTGTGTTCTAACTTTTTAATATTACACTGCTTTGAAAGGTAAGGCTTCTGTTTTTAATTGTTTCTACTTAAGCGTCCATGGTGAAATTTAACACGTTTTGAGAAAGCATCTGGATAAGAATGGTATTGAACTGACTTACCAAAATAAAGAAGAGAATCTGGAAGTGTGCCAACTGTCCTCTAAGGGATCTAAAGTCAAATTGATAGAAATTTCTGTCCATCAAAAAAATGGTAACAAATTTCATCAATTCGGAAGAAGGTGATTTCTTCGAATCACATATTTATCTTTGATGATATTAAAAAGGCATCCCGGTGCACGAAGAATGTTGTGTTCTCACAGGGTTTAGGGCAGGAGGCACCCCAAGGGATGTAATGTAGGCAGCCAATCCACAAGCATCAATGATTGTACCGTAGATGATATGCGTGACCTATAGGTTGGAGACAACTTTAACCTTGTCCAAAGGCACCCCTTCATGATGACATTACTGATCAGAATTTTCAAGCACGTGGTTGAGACTGCATTCATTTATTTATATTCAACTTGATATGTGGGAAGGGCTTACTCTACAAATGGCTTGGCTTGGTCTCGCTCCCTTCTCGCACTAGTCCTCCCCATTAAAAGGAACAATAAAGAATCTCAAGAACATTTCCAAGCGTCTACCTTCACGGGAGCAATTGGAAAAAATGGAGTATTTAAGGGTGTGTTTGGTATGAAGGAAAATGTTTTCCATGGAAAATGTTTTCCTAGAAAATGTTTTCCTGGAAAACAAGTATATTTTGGACTTATTTTCTCATGTTTGGTTGGTGAGTAGAAAATATTTTTCGGAAATGATTTTTAGTGTTTGATTTATGAATGAAAAATATTTTTGAGGAATATTTTTTATTTTTACTAGAATACAAAATAATTTATGAAATTGAAAATATTTTTTAAAAATAATTTTTTTTTTTGGGTGGTGGTGATAAGGGGTGGGGAGGTAGTGGTGGGGGCCGCAGAGGGAGAATGTAGGAATGAAAAAATAAAAATTTGAAGTTGATAGTATTTTTAAAAAATAAAAATAATTTTTTGGGGTTGGTAGGGGCTGGCCGGGGGAGGGTGGTCAGAGATCGATGAAAGAATAAAATTTTGAAATTGAAAATATTTTTTAAAAAATTTATGTTTTTCCAAAAAGAAATGTAATTTAAAATTGGAGGAGAGCTTTGGAAAATGTTTTCCTTAATTTTTGAAGGGAAGTTATTTTCCTTAATTTTGAGGAAAATGAGTTGATTTGGAAAACATTTTCCAAAACTTTTACCCCAACCAAACATGAGAAAATTGGAAAACATTTTCCTTCATACCAAACACACTCTAAGTCTTTTACTACCTTCCATTCAGCTGATAAAAATTGTTATAGACAATACATATGTAGAAAGCCTATTTGGTTCCAGTAGTTACTTTACTAGATTTTTCTTCTTTTTCCTTTTCTATAATGGAGATAGTTGCATGTAATGACAACCATATCATTAAAAGCTAGTGGTAAGAATGTGTTTCGTTCTAGTTCTCGCAAAGCACAATGTTTAGACATATAACATGCTGCATATACGTAAAATGTGTTGGCAGAGATCAAATTTCTGATCCAAATCCACCTGGAATATATACCAATCAGCATCAAAACAATCCCGGGCATTTACCTTTTGCTTGTTTAAAATAAAAGTAAAAGTCAATTGGAAGTAGAAATTCCAGCCTAATCACTAAGAAGTAGTATTATAGTTTGAAAGGAAATGAAACAAATTAGCTCAATCTTAGAGGATCTGGAGTGAGCTTCGCAAAGCATATCACACGCCAAATACACCAGCAAAATTGCAGTATAGTGACAGCAAAAAAAAATAATCAACTATAAATACATTCATTAGGACTTACCGTACGCCTGTATTTACCGAAATCAATAAACACGATCATCATTTTGCACCACCAACAGAAAATAGCAAACACAAAAGAAATACTAACAGAAAGTAAGAAGAAGGAAAAGGGGAAACTAACATGAAGGCACGAACAAGTGATTTTCCCTTGCCATCACCACAAGCAACAATGCGCATTCCATCAGGAGACCATTGAAGGTCATCGATCCGACCCGATAGTACCCGAAACTCTTTCTTAAGAACGAAGTCATTATGGGTCCCCCAGATCCGAACAGTACCTGAAACATCAGCAGAAGCGATCCATTCACCATTAGGAGAATAACGAGCGACTGTAGCCTGATAAGCATGCTCCCCGTAAACTGCAACTTGGAGGGGGCGATCGAGATACCGGATAATAACGGATCGGCCGTTACAATAAAGGATAGAGTTGGATTTGGTGTCACCCGAAATGAGAATACCGCGACCTCGTTCGGTAGAAGGTATACAAGCGTAAGTTTCTTTGAGGTCAGCCATGGAGATTTGTTGTGTTTATGGAGAAAAAGTGAGAAATGATGAAAATTAGGGGAAAACTAATTTTGTGAACTGTACAACTGCTTTTAGCTCTCCACTTTTTTCGATTACCTGACCGTGCCAGCACGTTCTTCTTGAATGACACGTGCTCTCTTATTATTGGGTATGTTCTTTTTTTTTGGGGACATAATTATTGTTATATACTTTTTTCTTCTTTTGAAATTGTAAATAATGAAAGAGAAATTGTAGAATAAGTGAATTTAAGAAGAAAAAAAGAAAGTACACCTAATATACAAAATTTCTATGTAGTTATCGCGGGTAGAAAAGATGTCATATTTTTTAAATGAATTCTTTTCTTTAGATTAGTGGATTCACTTAGTAGTTTAGGTTATTTTATCGGGTATAGGATACTTTGATAGCGTAAGATAAATCGATGTATAATCATTATAGCTGTTAAGTGATATTTATCGGTAAGAGAAACTCTACAGAAGTAATTGCATTGTTCATCAAGGGGTTCTGCTTAGTGTGAATGGGATACGAGACTTCATTCATGTCTTGTACAGGTAGACTTTGAGAAGGAGTTGACATCATGTTTTAAACAGTTTTCCTTTTTCTTTATATTACACTTATTTAAAACTGTTTTATAATGAAATGTGTTCAGTTAAGTATTCATGAGTTGAAAAGAGTCAAGGTAAGAGTTTCTTTCAGAATCTTTTAGAGCCTATGTTGTATTTAACATTTCAACTCGCATACTCGTATATTCAATGTACTGATGTCAGTTGGACTGCATCATCTTGCAGCGCACTATTGATCCAGTATTGATTATGTTCTTCATTTTAGAAGAGGAAAAAAACGGATGAAGTCGAGTCGATGGGTTTTTCGTGGAGCTAGTTTGGTAATTTTACACTAAAAATAAAAGTAATATATGTCTAAATAGTCGGTATATTTCAACGTGTATTAGGTACATGTCGCATTGTAAAATATACTATTTTCTTTTTATGCATTATTACTTAGTGTCATATTAGTGATCTGATATCAAGCAAGTGATAGTGTAAAAAGCTATATGAGTTAAACTCGTAAAAGAAATAGTCAAACCCATCGAAAAATATAATTGAACAAACGTACTTAAACACGTCAATATATATATAGTTATTAATATAATCATAATAATCAAATAATAAAAAAGAAAAACATTACAAATTAAGCTTCTAAACCAGTTCTTCTCCAATGAGTTTTGATTCGTGAAAAAAACATGAACTTATATATGCTATGAAAAAAAATATTAAAACTAAAAATATACATAAAGCATGAACGATGCCAACCCAATAAATTACATTATTTGATTGACCGAAAACTCCTATCCACGCTAACAATGAATAAAGTCCTAGCATACCAAAAAGAAACATGAAACAATCATATAAATATATTCCATTCTCGTCATTGTTTAGAATTTGACAATATCTTGAATTTTTCACTTCCACATATGCCATAAAACTTTAAAAATCTCTTTCTCGAATATATCGCTCTTAATTGTCTAATGCGTAACATATATAGATTACCGTAGAAGAAATCCTAATTCTATTCCTATTAGAATTAAATAAAAATATACATAAATTGATTATCTTTCTTATACATTCCAAACGTGTAACCTAATCAGGGCTGAAGATGGATTGATTTTTCCAAACAGATATGGAACCTCTTAGGCTAAAAGCCCATTTATTGAAGTATTATGAAGATTAGTATCGAAGGATCAAATAGAAGTAACCCGGCCCATATAATGCATGGGCTCATTTGTATGCAATTCAAAATGTATAATTAGGAATTGGCAATATAAACTACCATAGAGAATTTTAATAAAGTGAAATACAAGGTACAATCCTTATTTATCATATTAAATTTTAACCATTTTCTATTTGTAATCATCAAAGATATGTGGATTGATCTTATATATTTGATGTAGGAATACTTGTATATACCCGTTTCCTCTCTTAAAATTGATAGTATTATTAATCAAATGCATGAAGTTGAGCCGATGAATTTTGAGCTAGTATGGTAATTTTTACACTAAAAAGGAAAAGATTTAATATATCTTAATTAGTCGATATATTTTAACTGTTGCGTTAGTTAGTATCATTTTAAAGTGATATGATATTAAGAAATGATAGTGTAAAAGCTATATCAGATCAACTCGTATAAAACGGCCGAAGCGATATGATACTAAGTAAATAATAGTGTAAAAAACTATATGAATTAAACTCGTAAAATAACAACCAAGCTAATAAATGACCTCATAAAAAAATATATAATAAAACAAACGCACTTAAACACATCAATATATATATATATATATATAGTTTAGTCATAATAATACATCGACCAAACAGCTAGCAAACATAAATTCTAGTATTCTACGGTACAAAAGATCATACATTTAACATTTCTTTAACATTTTAAACTTAAGAGTGATTGGCTAAATAATAAGTGCCACACTCAAAACACACAAATTAAAATTCACCGACAGTAATATTATTAATGAACGATATTCACACATAATATATATATATATATATATAGTGTATCGTCGCTCACTTAACGCTTACGATTTGCTGGTTCCTTGTGAGCATTGAAATAAACCGTTGCAACTGGAACGCCAAGATCAAGTTGGTGTGCAAACATCCTAGTACGGAAATGAGCTCTTGCTACTGGTGCCTGAAAAATTTCCTGCATCGGCGCGTTTTGTCGGAACAACACCAGTATGTACCTGTGTATCCCAACTGGTGGACGTGGCCCAACATATCCCAATACCTCCTTACCTGCAATTTTACGATGGTACTACTTGGAGTCAAGATCAAATTTATCTAAATTTCGATTTAGTTGTTCGCGGTAAAAAAGAAAAGGGGTGATTTATATTATTCGTTAAATTATAGTACACTTAAATTTTGAATGATATCAAATAAATTGAAACACAGAAAAATATTTTATTTATTTTTTAGAATTGATCTAATATTATCTTATCTGACATTGAAGGATTGACTCAGTTATTTATCAAAAGGACATAGAGATGACAAGTGGCATGAAAAATGCTTACTAGGCTAACTCCAGCTGTACTTCTTGCTCTAGAAGGTACTTGTATGACAATTTAGAAAAAAAAACGAAATATATTCTTTAGATAATTTTTGTTATTTTCATCTCTTCGTCAAAAGTTCTCTTCTTCTCGATCGATTTTTTGTGTAAAGAAGTGATGATCATTAATGGGTGAAATTATGCTTACTCTGAATCATTTATGTTTGCAAGATTTAAATGACAGTCGAAATTTTATTGCTAAATAATTAATATCTCTTGTTAATCTCATTTAACGAGATGAACTAATTAAGAGCTATTTAGCAACGAATTAACTGA